AGGTGTCTTTAGAAGATTTTGGAGGAGATGGTGTTGATTACCGTTCCGCTTTCAATACAACTACGCTATTTATTAGTGATGTGGAGGCTATTAAGGATGCAAAATGTACGGCAATTCTGAATGATTTCTTTTTTACTATTTCAAAACACAAAAAACCCAGAAGGCTGAAGATCTTGAAGTGCGATCGAGGCGAACGTTATAGAGGCAAAAACGTAGATATGAATAAAGTTGTTTCGAGACGTTCAAAAACGAAAGCGTGCCAGTGCCCTTTTGAGATACAAGTAAAGCGTGTTGCCAGATCGACATACTGGATGATCCACACGAGTCAAGACGAAACGAAGGGATACCATAATCATTCATTTGCCGTGTATCCTGAGGGCCATCGACAGTCGAGCGGCATAAGCGTGTCATCCAAAAAAATTATTCGTGAAATGACTGTTGCGCATGTGACACCAACAAATATTTTGGCCGTCGTCCATGAAAAAAATCCACACGACCATGCTAATCGGCGACATGTATATAACTATAGAGACTGGTTGCGTAAGGAAAGTTTTGAGGGTAGGGACGTTCCTACCCAACTTCTACATTTGGCAAACAGCAGCAACTACATAGTTTATACAAATGTCGATCCGAATACAAATGCGCTGACACACATATTCATGGCCCATCCTGATTCAGTGAGTCTATTCCGGACTTATTATTGGTTTGTCGGCATAGATTCGACGTACAAAACCAACAGGTATTTTAAATTTATAGATATGTTATCAGTATTAATTTAAATTTGTATTTTAGATTAGATTTAATGTGATTATAATTTATTTCTTTTGGTCTCATTTTCACAGGTACAAGATGCCGTTGGTCGAGATGATTGGCATGACGCCGTGCAACAATAACTTTTTAATTGCGTATGCCCTCATTAAGGACGAGAAAAAGGCCAGTTATGATTGGGTTCTCGACAAGTTGAGACTTCTCATAGGCTATACGGTAAGAATTTATATGAAGTACATGATTAATTTAATTAGTATATAAACGTACTTTGTGATAAATGGTAAAAAAAAATTGAGGTTTTTTTTGCGTGTCTCACTAATATTTAACGCTGCTCAGGTGCATCCTAATGCAGTTGTCAGTGACAGAGAGTTGGGCTTATTGACTCCTATTAGGAGGCATTTTCCCCAATCTGCCCACTTACTCTGCACGTGGCACATCAACAAGGATGTGGAAAACAAAGTGTACAACTTGTTTGGGAAAGATAAAAATTTATCTGAGAGGTTTTTGCGCGGTCGGTGGAAGTCGATTATGGATGCAAGTACATTGGATGAGTACGACACTGCCGTAGCTCAATTGAATGCAAAGTACGGGAATGATTCAAAAGTGGTACAATATCTCGAGGAGACGTGGCTATGCCACAAGGAGAAGTTTGTGAAAGCCTGGACGAACCAAGTAACACATTTTGGCAACACAACTACCTGTAGGGTGGAAAGTGCCCACTCTGTGTTGAAGCAGTGGCTTCGCACGTCGACTGGCGCGCTAGATACAGTGTGGCATAAGATTGATAAGGAGATCGAGTCTCAATTGACTGAAATCATGTACATTCCTCAAATATATTATATATAAGTATAATATATTATATTATATAAGTATATTATAATTTGTTTTGTAATGTATTAACAGGACATCACTTGAGTCTTCTAGACTTAGGAAGAGTGCGGCATATACGGGATTGACTTTCGCGTGCTTGATATTGAGAGTCTCGCATTACTGTATGAATTTATTGAACGATGAGCTAACAAGGATGCGAGACTTGAGCCATGAAGTTTACTGGCGCTGCGGCTGTGTATTGCCTACCACACATGGAATTCCTTGTGCATGTACGCTTCGTACAGCACACGACTCTAAAATGGCGATTGGTATTGACATTATCCACGAGTTCTGGAAGACACTAGAGATGTTAGAACCAGGTAATTTGTGGTTAATGTTTATTTATAATTTTCTACACTGTGATTCATTTTAAATTACACATTAAAGTATATTACTTTAAGAAAAAAAAAACAAGGTGCAGGCAGGTCACACGACTCGTGTGCCTAGTGACACGGGTCTTGTGAACCTCACACGACTCGTGTCACATGGTCACACGAGTCGTGTGCCTACTGAGGAGAATGGATCAGAAGCCACGGGTTTTCACACGACTCGTGTGCCCAGTCACACGGGTCGTGTGACACTCACACGACTCGTGTCATCCGTTCACACGAGTCGTGTGTTTACTCAAAAGAAATGTTTAAAAGATACGGGGTTTTCACACGACTCGTGTGACTAGTTAATCATTTTAAATTACACATTAAAGTATATTACTTTGTTTAATTGTTTCAATTTTTGGATCGTATACTTTTAGGGACAAATCACCAGAGCCAGCATAATCAGGGTGCCTGGATAGATGT